AACCTTTCACAAAGAACAGTCACTTACAGTTACCGGTCTAACTTTCCACATAGCTGTACAATGAAAACTTCTTTTCCACATTCCGTAACTTCTCACTACTTCTTAAGTTTTAAAGAAGACTTGTGTTACCTTTATAAGCACAGAAAGGAGGCAATAAAGCTAACAAAAAGCATAATCATAACAATTAAAAATTTCCATTATTTCGTTGAGTGATGATTTGCTAAGCAATTAAGTTTTAAACGACGCTCAGCACTCCAGGCGTCTAAGGGTTATGCTTCTTAGTGCAAAATCTATTAATCTCCTCTCAGAGGATACAACAAAAAGCAAAATGACTTTGCGCACACAGCAATCAAACTTAGAAAACTTTAGAAGTCTGTGACCACATTGCTTAAGGCAGCGTATACACGTCCCCAAATCGTTGATAAATCTCAACTGTGGTGATGCTCTTTCAAGGAAAAACGTATACAAATCAATCGGTGGTTGTTAATACAGAAGATCTGGTAAGTAACACTTTAGCAAAGTCAAACAGGAGCTGAGTCGGAAAAACTTAATCCCAAAATGTTTCAAGCGCTTCAAAAGAATTTAAGAACAGCTGCAGCCAGAATCTTCCAAATTTGAACTAAACTGATTTTCCACCTTACGTCATGACTAGCAATCTAAACGTGCGAATTAACGTTCAGAGGGGTGAACGACTACTCATCATGTTCACTTTTGCAGGGAGATTCCGCTATACCTAAGTCATTGCGACCGTTATTACTATTCAATTAACTCCACAAAGTAGGAATTTCAAAACGAATGTTAAGTTTATTAGCTAATTAACTGGTGCTGAAGTCTGCGAACAAACAACTTGAAAATTGTCAAATAAGCCATTGTTAGATCTGTTCATTTGCCTGATTAGCAGCATATAAATCTCAAACAAGAACAAAGTTTTCTAAAAGGGAGAATACTTTTTTGAACACTTCTGAACAAACGAGCAGTATGCAGCAAAAGTCCATTGAATATTGCTCACTAAGGTCCGTTGAACTCACCTGCTCATACCAACGCATTTAAAGTTTAATTCAGCTTCTAAGTTTCAAGCGAAAAAATGCACATTAGGAATTCAACTAGCAGTAGTAAAAAGAAGAAAGCAGATAACGAATCAGCAAAGAAGGTGCTCGCTTGCTGACCCAAGAACGACAAATAAAATGCAGAGGGAGATGAGGAATAATGTCCACTCATAAAATGGGTCGTAATGAGTGCTGATTGGCTAAAAGCTCAGCAACTCTGAGGCCTGTGATCGACTCACTGTTTGACCTATGGTTCCAACAGTCCATAATACAAAGCAAATTCAGTGGTCAATCCTCATTGTCACTGCAGCAGGTCAACCTCGACAAAATTCAAATTTTTTCTGGTAGTGCGACATCACGACTCAAAATCGATAAAAACGATTAATGGTGTCATGAAAAACCTTCGGAATTTTAGTACAGGTGTTGACTTACAGTTAGGAGAGTTACTGAAGGTTAGACAAAAAACTGAAAACTTCTTCACTCCCAAAGTGCCAAGAACTAGTTGCAGAGGATAAACTGCTTAATTAGCAGTGAAAGAGAAATATCATTTTAGTATACTCTCTCTTAATAAATATAAGCTTTTTAAACAAAGGTCGAATCTACTTTTGTAGTAAATTAAGTCGCTTATTATCTAGAGAAATCGATAGAAAACTAATGCCCCTTTTCCACAACCAGAGAAAAATTATAATAAATATTCTGACTTCTGTAACTTCTCTTCATGCAAGTTTTTTAGTACAAAAGAATCTTATTTTTTAATCTGCAGAGAAAAAACCCAGTCGTACCGTATCAACAACTCATGTTATAATTATTCAGCAAAACCACAGAATTACAGCCTCAAAAAAAAGTTTAGCGTCATTCCGCAAATTTTCGCAAGCTCTGATAACAGTTTTTGTAACTTAGTAAAGGCGTATGCTTCTGAAAATGCGCTTCGGGAAATTACAACAAGCAGAGCCAATTGCTCTTCTAAAACTTTTTTCTGTCTAGCGTTATCATGTCTTACGAGACAAGATTTTTCTGAAAAAACCTAATTTTTTTTTTCAGAAAACCCTAACCGAAGAAACAGCTGAATAATTCAGAATTAATAGCTGCCAAAATCATATCAGCTCATTGTTTCCAAGAGGATAACATAAATTTAAAACTTCTTAGTCACATAACTGTTAATCGCAGTGTTCCGTAGAGTAAGAGTATTTACTGCCCAGAAAACGGCATTTCAAGCTTTCAGAATTGTAATAAAGTTTTAGATCGCTGAAGAAAAGAGTTGTAAAAAATAAAAGTAAAATTCTTCACTGAAGTTACTTTCCACTTCTCAGTAATACTGAATTTGATACAATAGAGATTGGGAAACGAAATAAATGAAGGCTTTTTAGGTTATAAATCAAAAATGTGAGTTTTTGCAAGAAAGAACCATCAACTGTGGTCACGAGTAGACTACAGACTACAAATAACCGTATAGAATAGTAGATAGCTTTTTTCATGAAATCTGATACATAATTCACTACTTTAATTTATTGTGAAAGAACAGAAAAAAATAAATAAAACTGGTCTAAATTAGAGTTAAAAAGCAGTGAACGAAAAACGAAACAGAAAAGTTGTTTTAATAAAGCTGATACCCTACTTTACTGTAAAAACATTGCTTCCAAGTTTAGTAGTTGTTTAAGCAGATGATCACCGTTCAAGAAAGCAAGAATATGTAGAATTTGATAAGCCAAGTGATCTAATGTTCAGGCACAGCATACATCGCTAAAAGCTGACCAGTAGACGAGCTGCTCCAAAAACCAGGGTGGTCTGCTAACGGCTGTGCTCACTCTTCGAGACGGTTAGACCGCCCCATCGTTGCCGCCTACTGGCTCCAGTAAAGGCACCAATCAGAAATTTGGTCAAACTAAAGCCAACTGCACTCTTGTTCAGAATCCATATTTATCAGAGCCATTTTATTTGTTATCTGATTTTAGCTAAGTGCCAATCACTGTCTATTTATAAAAAGTAAAAAATCAAAGAGAATACTACAGGAAATGTATAGCCTTCAAATTATAAGAACGGTATTTTTGAAATTACTTTTCACTGTTTGCTTAATCTTGTATTTGACGTTGCTGAAATTGTACTGCAGTCTAAACCGTTTATTCAGCAATACTTTAAAACAGGAGAAAGCTGCTATCAAGATGAAATTCCTTTTCATAAAAGCAACAATTCTTTTTAAAAAAATGTTAAATAATTTCCCACCTTTTTGTTACTGCTGTTAGATGATTTTATTAAATTAAATGTTTACTTAACATCAAGAGGCAAATTTGTATAAACTTCCAATTAAGAATTGAACATCGATATTTAATTTTCTTCTGAACCAACTATTTGATAAACCTTTTAGGAACTTTGTATATAAAAAATATCTAACATCTGAATTCGAGGACAAATTGGTGTAAACTAAGATTTCTAAGATCCTAAAACTGGCAATGACAATACAAATTTAAAGAAAATAAGCTATTTTTCAATTCTATTCAAAATGATTTCAAAAAGGGAAATGAAATAGACCAACGGAGGAAAATGATTTTAAAAAGTGAAATAAAATAGACCAACAGAGGTTTAAAATACACAGTCTCTTCTAATACTTCTTAACGTCTTATTTATACTACTTCAGAAAAACAACTGGACTTTCGTTCCTTTAATTTGAGACTGCCCAGTTTTCAGATTTTGAAAAGTTGTGATAAAATAACATTTTTACATTCTCATTTTGATAGTTACAACTGACATTGTAATTCCCCCTGTTGTATGAAATCGACGTTTACAACAGACTATAAAAATTGCCTCTTCAGAATCTACAACACTTACACTGTTCTACACTCAAGACGCTAAAATCTCTCTGGCATTTGACACCAAATTATGCAGATGTTATTGTACAATTACAGTTTATTATTAGAACTATAAAGAACATTTGCTTGCTCAACATGCCGTTTTGAAACTCTAAACAAGAAATCAATGACAGTAGTTGATCTTAAAGTCAGTGAGCGTTTTCTCCCCCCCCCCCCC